TATATGGCCAAATTACTGCATTTAGCCATGGCATTTCTCGGCACACTCCTAGGCTCATGTCCTTCCATACATTGTGGGATACTTTCATCCAACCGTTTTAGACTACAAAATGCTGAAACCTCCTAAATGTAATCCTCTGCTCAGGATCTACACCTGCTTCTTCAGGTTTCCTCATCAGTTGTGGGCACTCTACTCTTCTAATCTAAACATTTTGAGTCTGGCAAGGAACACAGTCTTAGCTTCATAAAGAACAGAGGTCTTGAGAGACAACTTCTGAACTTATCTCTTCCTCTGAGCTCATCATTCATCAGTACTTTAGCTGGATAGAGTACCTCCAGCTTTCTCTCAACAAGTCCTTTATATGTGTGGTAGTAGTCTTCCGCTCTCCCTGCACAGAGCAGAATGCACTCTTCAGCAGGACTTTCATCTCTGTGCTATGTGCTCAAACTGACAAGTTCACTGTCTACCAGTCATGTTCGTCCTTCACCCCATTGAAATATCCTGTATAGAAAAACAGCGGTTTTAGGGAGGCAGGCCAAGATCAAAGGGGCTGGACACAGCAATTGAACCGCTTCAAAATGTTACTGAGCGGGAACTAGTTCACAGTTGTATGAAGTGCTATGGCTCCTATCCAAGGGATAGGAGTGAGCACCCAGCCCAACATGGCTTGCAGTGGGCCGGTAGGAGCGGGTTGGGTGTGCCTGCATCCATGCTTTGGAGTTCCAGGAGTTGGGGGGAATCTGTTTTTCTGCTTTTACTTCTGTCCTAAGCATACGTTCAGTAAACTTCAGCAGCCTGCAGTTGACCAAAGTCTGCAGTATATTAACCAGACTTGGTGAGGGGGTAGGGGGATGGGCAGGTGGTGCCAGGAAAGGAGTGTTTGATACTACACTTTTTGGTTCCCAGAGGCTATGGGGAGGAGGTGCAATCCAATCTAGTAGGGACCACAGCTGGTTGTTAGAAAGATAACCTTATTGAACAAGCAGTGCAAGGGAGCCAACTGATTGAAAAAAGTGCCAAAAACGGTGGGGCACTAGAGTTCTGGCTGCATACTAGAGGGGCCCGTTGCAGTAGTTACAGGGGCAAGTGAAGAGTAGTGCAGTATGGAATAACTGAAAGTGACCAGACCAGTGTCACAGAACACTTGAGTTGCTTACAGACATGAAAAAACAAAACAAAATAGCATTTTACTTTCAGCTTGGCATGCCCCTGCTCCAAGCGCAATGCATACTTGGAAGAAGCATTGCATTAGTTTGACCCAGCTTGCCCAACAATGTATATATAGATCATGTGCTTCAGCTGGGCCTTTTGGCACTTTTATCTGATAGCTAACTAAATCAGCTAAAAGATCAAAGCCCCATGGAAGCGTGTGATCTATACAGACATTGGGCGAGCCAGGTCAAACTGATGCACTTCCTCTTCTGGTAAAGCTCTGGGTTTGGTTTTTTTCACATCTGTCAGCGGCATTGGTGTTCAACAGAACGCTGAACTAGTTCCCAGTGAACCAGTTCCAGTAGTGCTTGATTTTTCAAATACATTTTTCAACCATTCCAGGCAGATTTAAACTGATTTTAAAGGCTTGTATATCTGGTCGCCTCAGATTTAAACCACATGTAAACTGTTTTAAGTGCTGTGTGTGTCCATGACCAAAGTCAGCAGTCAGATTGCAGACTCGGCAACTCTTTTGAGTTTGTGCTTGAGTGATATGTCAAACAACTTTCCCAGTTACCTCTCTGGAATGTACCTTAAAACCCTGCTCCAGGCCTGCACAGCAACAAAACTTCTCGCAGTCTGAAATATGTCATTCATCATATTATGACAAATAATTCATATTACCTTTCTGTTTATTTCACTGGAATCATTAATCAGTTTGAGTGTAGTAACCTTTAAGAGTTGAACTGTTTATCTGGTGTCATCCACAAAGCCAAGAGGCCCAGCCATGACATTCTGTCGCAACATTTGCGTCAGCATTACATTAAGATGCTGTTGTTTCTTTGTCTTTCCATTCAGAACAAAGTAGCTCACCAGATCCATTTTTTCCCCACCTGTCTTCTCCTTTGGTTCATGTGAGGGAGATAATGTAGCGTGTGTAATCCTGTAAAAAATATACTAAAAAGTAAGAATTATAATAGGAATGCTTTTCAGACTTTGATCCTGTCCAAAATTTTGAATGTTGGATATTATAAAGATATTAGTTCAGAGGCTTTGTAAATGCTGCTTCCAGCAGAATGTGATTCTGTGCGCGACCACGTGGTGGAGCCAAGACAACATCGTCTCTCAGGAAAAGCTCTCCTGGATCAACTGAAGAAATTCACTACCCAGCTGCATTTGTTTCTCGTGTCTTCACCAGAGCCTTCCACAGACTGAGTTTCTGATGCTGGGCATTTCTCCATCCTTCTGTAGTCTCCGACTCCATTCAAATGTGTTCTGTTTTCCCCATACATGGTAAAATATTTGGTATTACATCTGTCCTGCTTCTCTTTCCTGTAAACATAAATTAGAAATGCACATTCCTCCTTTTAACTTGCAATAACATGGCATCTGATCTGAACTAACACCATGTCATTAAAAGTAAGCGTTCCTTGAAAAATATCTTCTCGTTAAGTTACCAATGTTTTGATGTTCTGACTATTTAACTTACTTTCCCACATAAGATTAATGTTGTTTAAATGTCATCCCAAATAATATGTGGGGGTAAGGGAGATTTAATCCTTTTATTTATCACTTTTTTGTAATTTTCTTACTTTGTTTAATTACTAGTATTTAAAACAAGGCCTGCTTTCTCCCAGTCCGTGTTTACTTCCTACTTGTTCTGTGATAGGGTTACAGACTTCAGTCTGTGAGACTCTCGTCTTAATAATAAATATGTCTGTAACAGAAAGACAGAGCAAAGAAAATGACTACTAAAATTGCAGTCTTCCTAAATACTATTTTTCCTTTCTCTTTAAAATAACCTGTTGCTCCAGCATTGTGGTAGCAATTGAAAGTAAATCACGTTACACTAGAGATACAATATCATACATAATCCAGGCTGCTCCAATCCAATATTTATAGAATAAAATAAATGACTGTCCTTTCACATAATCAGTTGCATTTCTACAAGGTTATATTTTATAATTATGGTAATAATTATAAATTAATTCATAATTAACTCCTTAAAACAGTGTTTTGGAATATGAATTGTTATAGTTATAAATCGCAATGTAGAAATCTACTTCAGCTGTTGCCTTTTCATAAAAGAATGATTTTTTGTGACCTTTTGGAAAGTAAATAATAGATACAAGGGCTATGATGTATTGTTTGTACTGTGTATATGTATAGCAGAGACTTATTTTGATGGAAGGCAATGAGACTACTCAGGTGCTTAATGTTAAGCACGCGTATCCTGTTGAAGGAACAGTGCTTTAGTTGCCAGCACTAATTAGCAAGTGCCACAGAGATGAACTTCTTTGTTGCTCTTTTCAATAAAGTTTACAACAGCAGTTATCTGATCAACATATTACAAAAACTAACTCACTAAAAAGAAATGGTGGCAATGGTGTGTCTGTTAACTGAAACTAATTCATCAAGAGTTTCTTGTTTATAATATATTTGTTGAAAACACCATTTCTCTCAGAGGTTATGCTTACCTCTGTTATCCATAAATGTTGTGCTGTTCACTTTCTTTTTCTTTTATTTTTACCAAGATATTAAGGTTTTAATGCTGCTTGTGCCAAAAAGAAAAAAAATATTAATCTAGTCTAATTTGAAGCTTCCTACACTATTAGTTTCTAATGTCCATTTTTTGTTGTCTTTTTCCCACAACTGGACTTTGTCATTTTTCAAGCTCTGCAGTATTGACCATCAAGTATATAAATGTTTTGTTTGCTGAAAAAATATGTATTCTAATTTTCAAAAAAAGAAATGTGCACTAAGATTTTGAGCTAAAACCATTTATTTCAATACAAAGTTCAGAGTCAGATAAAATCAATTGATTGTGAAGAAGTCAGACCTGACAACTTGAACATTTTACAAATTTATGTTAAAGTTATTGAAGCTCCTGAGTTGTGCCAGTAAAGATTATCATATTTTTATCTCTAATTTGAAGATTGTAGTATTAAAATAACATTATATCAGTACACAGTAATTTATGCAGGATATGAACAAGCATGTGTATTTCTCGATACAGTAAGCACTGCATTTACCCAAATACTAGACAACTTCATATTTTAAAATGACCCTCCAGTAATTATATTATATACATGGAAAATTTGTGGAGTCATCTTAAATTCATTGTCCACCCCCCACAGCAGTGGTGGGAAGGGCAGTGGTAGGGGCTAAGAGGCCAGATTCCCACCCCTTGCTTCCCTCACCCCGTCTCCCACATGCATATCCACCCTGGCATATGCTTCCTTTGCCGCCTTCCCCTCCATCGCATGCAACCCCTTGCCACTTACATTTTGAATGTCTCTGCTATAGCTTTGGGACAGTTAGGGGCCACAGTCTAGACCCACCAGGGAGAAACAGCAATGACATGTCCTGGGCATGTGTCAAAGCAAAAGGTGAAGGTAAGCAGTAAGAGTGGGAGGTAGAGGCAGGAGAGGTAGTCAGTCTTCCCTGCACTCCCTTGAGTCTCCTCTGCCTCCCTTCCCTGCTGCATAGTTCCTTCCACGCTCCCCCTACCATGTACCCACTCCCCTTTCACACAGGTCATCCCAGACTGAGGCAGGCAGTAGCTCAGCTTCCCAACCCTCTTCCTTCCCCCTGAAGCCCAGGGCCAAAGCTGGAGCTGAGCCACCACCTGCTCTGGGCTAGTACTCAAATCTAAGACTCTAAGACAAGCTTTTTTCCCCCCAATGTTGATTGAGGCAAAAATCTTGTCTCTGTTGTGCATGTACAATGAAATGCTTCTTTCATCAAATAATTGTGTTTTAATTGGTTTAGCATCCTGAGGTTTACTGTAAAGAATGCTCTTGGCCACACTTTTCAACAGATAAGTTTCCTTTTCCTTTTGTCCTCAGGGAGCCTTTTCATAAGATTTTGGTCCAAGGCCTCATCAAGAGTGAGACCTTCAGACTAACAACAACAGGCCAATATTTGAAGCGAGAGGAAATCGATCTCACTGGTAAGGGGGACTGTGTGGGAAAACCAGCACAGGTGCATCCAGAAGGTCAAAGGCTAGCTTAGCAAAAAAGGATGTACAAGTCATAGTGCATGGAAAATTCAGCAGTGAGAAGTGAATCCTTATAAACTTTAAGACAAAGATTGACTTTTTGTGTGTGTTCTGGAGTTGTGTACATAGTGCTGAGTGTGCCATCAGGGAAAATATTAATCTTGTTGCCCTTAATCAGGTTCAGACCCTATAATTGAACTATATTTTTACTTCAGTTGGGTCTAGCTCCAAAATGACCAAAAAAATCTATATTTTATAACAACTATTCACTAGCCCACTTGTAACGATCTGGTGGGCACAGTTAGCAGATATCTGCATTGAAAAACCGTTGCCGTAGGTGGTACAGTTGATACCAGTCTCAATGGATAAGATATGGATATAATGGGTATAGAACAAGCTACTCTCTACCCCTGCATGTGATCACTGAAGGGCAGCATGAAACTTAAATCTCCCTTTGTTTGTGTTTATACTTGTTCTTTACTTGGAAGGTAGAATTTACCTCTCTTTGATGTTTTTACACTGAAGCACATATGCCAGTGCTGCCTTTTGTGGCTGATGCATTGGAACAATGTGTCTTGGCCCAGCTGAAACCTGTAAACCAAGCCTAGGGCAAGTCATACGTTACCCCTGTGCAATGCATCTCAGTGAAAGATTTGCAGTGGTATAGCAATACCAATGCAAAATTCGGAATGTGTGCGAGCCCTAAATCTCCAGTGCTATTAGACTGGTGCCTTTCATGAGTAGTGGGCTAAGGCATAATAATGCAGCTGGGCACCCAGGGCAGCTGCAGAACAAAACTGCTTCTGTCTTTCAGCCAGCACGGTTATATGGCTGTAGTGGCAATGGGTTTTTTCCTACCCTCCACCCTCTCTCCCCGCATTGCCCTGCCCTATGCTAATTGACATAACATCCTTTGCAAAAAGGAAAAATGCATTTATTTTCCTTATGTGATGGAAATATTATGATCATAGAAAATAAGAGTTGGAAGGGACCACAGGAGGTCATCTAGTCCAACCCCTGCTCAAAGCAGGACCATCCCCAACTACATCATCCCAGCCAAGGCTTTGTCTAGCCGAGTCTTAAAAACCTCCAAAAATGGAGGTACCACCACCTCTCTGGGTAACATGCTCCAGTGCTTTACTACCCTCCTTATGACAAAGTTTTTCCTAATAGCTAACCTAAACTTCCCTTGCTTCAACTTGAGGCTATTGGTCCTTGTTCTGTCATCTGCCACCACTGAGAACAGTTTAGCTCTGACCTCTTGGTAACCACCCTTCAGGTAGTTGGAGGCTACTATTAAATCCCTCCTCAGTCTTCTCTTCTCCAAACTAAATAAGCCCAGTTCCCTCAGCCTTTCCTCATAAAAGTCATAGTTGCATAGTTGGTAGGGTCGGAAGGGACCTGAGCAGACCATCAAGTCCGACCCCCTG